AAACGGCAGGAGTAACTATGACTCTCTTAAGAGAATGGAGTTCTACATTAAAGACATAACAATGCATATGATCTAAATTTAGATGCAAAATAAAATGGAGGTAAATTTAGTTAGACTGAAGAGAAACATTAAAGTGGATGTAATTGCAGGTATTCGCCAGTAATGCAGAAATGAAACTATATACATTTTATGTATTGATGCAGATTTATAGCAACGGTTATTAAATTAATTCTATTTACATTAGTATTTTTAAATAACGTGATACAATATGTGATCTCTTGTTTAAAATACTTGTAATTTTGGTTGTATATTAGAAATATCCATCAGTTTTAAACGGATCAAATTTCCGAAAACGTGACATGTGTCAGATGTTATCGAAGGCAGTACGACCAGCACGCAATACTTGTAAAGAAAGTAGGGTTTTTTTTTTGGTTTTTTTTTCGAAAGCAGTTTACACATATCCCGAACATATAGAGTTATCTGTCTTCCCACATAACTACTAAGTGATGTGTGGTAGCAAAACTAACTAGTTGAGGTGTATTTAAAAGTTTCCACTGTAGGGGATTAGTTTCATTCAAACCTATATTCTAACAACTAGAAAGGATCTTCTTTTTCATTATATTACCTCCAAAAGGACTCTAAAAATTTAGGTCAAGGGTAGATAAAACAAGTGAAATAGTATGCATCATTATTTTGCATTATTTGAAGTGAAACGAAACAGGTGATACTTCATGCTCGAGAAATCCGCTGCCAATGTAAATTTTGACTTAACTCAGTCAGCTGTCAACAAAATAGCCGTGATGGAAGTAGAGTGTTTCTTTCATGCAAGTCAAAAAACAGGTTTAGTTTGGATTAACCGCTGATGTTCATTATTACGTGTTCGGACTTTTATTGTTTTTGGCATAAAGGACGGAACTAGAAGAGTTGAATGGAACAGGATCTTATATGCACGTTGTTCTAGCTTGTTTTAGGATAAAACCCTGCATCAACTTTATATCCTGATGTTTGTATGACCAAAGAAAACCATCTAAAGAAAATTATACAATACATTGACTTGTAAGTGTAACTCAAGTGCTACAGTTAAAACACGGAATAGATTGAGTATAAAAAGATAAACATCACGAAAAATAACTTTGAAAATAATACGTTGGAAAGACAAAATAATATAAAGAATAACAAAAACAATGTGACAAAACAATGATTTGATATGAAATATTATTCTTTTGTGACTTTTAGTGCTTTTTTAATTTTAAGAAATCTTTATCAGCTGCAGTACAAACTGCTATAGTATTAATATCTAACCTATATAAAAGCTAGTGTGTGTGTCACGTCACGCTTGATTTCTCGAAATAGAAGGAGTCATAAAAGCCAAAATGCATTTATTCAGATCAAATACCTCGATTATTTTCTGCTCATTACATTTTAGTGATGGAAGTGCAAGGGAACCGTGAGGGGGGGGGGGGGGTGCCGTGAAACCTTATACGTGTAATGAGTGTTGGTATAATAAGACTAAAGTAAAGACGTAGTGTGGGACGACCTACGTACGTAACGTAAGTACGTAACGTAACGTAACTAAGTAAAGTTTAAATTTACTACCTACGTCGTCGTTACGGGTACCCGGAACCGGAAC